CCGTGCTTGGACAGCAACAGGCGCGAAGCATGAACATCAATGTACCCAACGCCTCCTCAATGCAGCAACACCAGCAGTCCCAACATCGATTGTCCTCGCAGGGATTAGCTTCTGCCCCGCGGCGCAGCTATCACCTTGCCGCCGGCGGTGGCAGGATTCGGTCCGATAACAGAACAAACACTATCCAACCGCTCACGTCGACGCCAGTTCCCATGCCAGTTCCAGCTCCTGCTGCTCCCGCTGTCGTTAGGACGGCGCCTAGTGAAACCAGCTGTGCGCCATCAACCTCCGCTTCAGTGATGGTAGAAAATACAGAAAAACGCTTTAAGGAAATATCACGGAAGTACCCACTCTGGCTACCCGAGTACAAGCGAAGGGCCTTCAATGTTAGCCTACCATCTGATAAAAACCAAACAGGGATTTAAACTTGTATTACTATTCTAAGCTTTAATCCCTGAAAAGTTGTTAAGTTGTTAACGAACCAAGCTAATAATCGAATGTCTCTTCTAGGCCTCCATGGACGAGAAGTACGTGGAGACCATTTGGGCCAGCTTAAAGAATGCCATCCAGGAGATACAGAAAAAGAACAATTCTGGACTATCGTTCGAACAGCTCTACCGGAATGCGTATAACATGGTGCTACACAAGCACGGCAACAGACTGTATTACGGCCTGAGGGAAGTTGTCTCAGAACACCTAGAGCACAAAGTGCGGGCGGACGTGCTGGAGGCTCTGCACAGCAATTTCCTACCCAAGTTAAACCAGGCCTGGACTGACCACCAGACATCTATGGTGATGATCCGCGACATACTCATGTACATGGATAGAGTTTATGTGCAGCAGCGTGAGGTGGACAACGTGTACAACTTGGGATTAATTTTGTTCAGGGATCAGGTAGGAAATATATTGCATTTCAATATTGCTAGGATTCAGTACTTAAGTATTTAACCCTACTAATTTATCGCCTTTTCCATTATCAGGTGGTTCGCTATTCTGAGATACAAAAAGCTCTGCGGGAGAAGCTGCTGGGCATGGTGATGGAGGAGCGTCATGGCGAAGCCATTAACCATCTGGCGATCAAGAATGCTTGCAGTATGCTGATCACCCTGGGAATTAACTCACGCACTGTCTACGAGGAGGACTTTGAGAAGCCCTTCCTTGCGCAATCGGCGGCGTTTTACAAATTCGAGTCGCAGAACTTTCTTGCCGAAAACAACGCTGGCGTTTACATCAAGAAAGTTGAGGCGCGCATCACGGAGGAATCTTCCCGGGCAGCGCTGTATCTGGATAAGGATACGGAGCCCCGCATCGTGCGCGTGGTTGAAGAAGAACTGATCAAAAAACACATGCGACCCATTGTTGAAATGGAGAACTCCGGCGTGGTGTACATGATCAAGAACTCAAAGACCGAGGATCTGGCCTGCACATATAAGCTTTTCTCGCGCCTGAAGGAGGAAGGTCTCAAGGTGATAGCGGACACCATGTCGGCATATCTGCGAGAGCAAGGACGTATGCTTGTTAAGGAGGAAGAAAACGGCAACACGAATCCCATCACATTCGTGCAGAACTTGCTGGATCTCAAGGACCGCTTCGACCAGTTTCTGGTGCACTCTTTCGCCAACGATCGCATATTCAAAAACGTCATCTCATCAGATTTTGAACATTTCTTGAACCTGAATAACAAATCCCCAGAGTATCTATCGCTATTCATCGATGACAAACTGAAAAAGGGTGGCAAGGGAGTGAGTTCCACTTACAATATGCCTTCTGACATGTATAAATGCTTTATATTATTTTTCCACAGATGAGCGAACAGGAGATTGAGTCCATCTTGGATAAGACGATGGTTCTCTTCCGTTTCCTATTGGAGAAAGATGTCTTTGAGCGCTATTACAAGACGCATTTAGCCAAGAGATTGCTGCTGAACAAATCAGTCTCTGATGATTTCGAGAAGAATATGATATCAAAACTAAAGGTAGATTAAGTTGCTTGGCATCTTTGCATAAGTATTCATCGCTCTTAACTCTTCTATTGCAGACTGAATGCGGCTGTCAATTCACCTCGAAGCTAGAGGGCATGTTTAAAGATATGTCGGTCTCCAATACGATCATGGATGAGTTTAAGAACTTTGTAAATAATAACAATTTATCTCTTGGCGGTGTGGAGCTAACGGTACGCATACTAACCACTGGCTTTTGGCCCACACAGGTAAGTTTGAAAGGTTCCATGAGTATGTACATATGTTTACTTATACTGATTCTTCCTAACAGACAGCAACACCCAACTGCAATATACCCGCCGCTCCTCGTGAAGCCTTCGACATTTTCAAGAACTTCTATCTAAATAAGCACTCAGGACGTCAATTGACGTTACAGCCACAAATGGGTTAGCTAGTTATATGATAATCTTTTTTAGTAACTATATTTATGCCTACTCATTTGATTAGGAACCGCCTATATCAATGCTGTGTTTTATGGCCGCAAGGCAGCCGAAAGTGAAAAAGATAAAGATGCCCCCAGCTCCAGTTCAAGTGGCTGTGCGGTGCCCACCACCACACGAAAGCACGTTTTGCAGGTGTCCACCTACCAGGTGAGCTCGTACATCTCCATGTTTCACTTGGCAGAATGTATTTTGTTACATGCAATTTAACATTACATTGATGTATTAAATATTCCAAAATAGATGTGCGTGCTACTGCTGTTTAATAACCGCGACGTGCTCACCTACGATGATATACATCAGGAGACGGACATACCAGAACGGGAGCTTGTCCGAGCACTGCAATCGTTGTCCATGGGCAAGCCGGCACAGCGATTGTTAGTACGCAATTCGAAAACGAAAACTAAGGACATTGAGCCCACGGATGAGTTTTACGTAAACGACGCCTTCATCTCCAAGTTCCACAGGTTAGATATTATTATTTAGATGAAATAAGTTAGAACGGCGCCTGGTAATGACATCTAACTATTTTAGGGTGAAGATACAAACGGTAGCCGCCAAGGGAGAATCAGAGCCAGAGCGCAAGGAAACGCGCGGAAAGGTTGACGAGGATCGTAAGCACGAGATCGAAGCGGCTATTGTGCGCATAATGAAGGCCCGCAAGCGCATGGCTGTGAGTATACGTTTGCTATTTGACTGGATTGACTTCTAACTATGATTGTATCTTATGTTTCTTAGCACAACTTGCTAGTATCAGATGTGACGTCGCAGCTAAAGTCGCGCTTCTTGCCCTCGCCCGTGTTTATTAAAAAGCGCATTGAGGGCCTCATCGAGCGCGAGTATCTGCAACGATCGCCGGAAGATCGCAAAGTTTATAACTACTTGGCCTAAGTGGCCCACGAAAAGTAGCAGGAGCGTCTTGAGCAGGATCCGGATCACACTCATCTTCAAATCGCCAGGGCTTGCACACTAAAAAAAGAAAAAAATCTGCTGCTCGGACAGCATGCGCCTGAGCACACGAGCGGCATTGATACAGATATTGACCACGATTATAGATGACCGCCAGCCAATAACCCGAATACATAAATATATCAATTAGTGCGCCCCGAATCGTGAAATTTCGTTTCGCAACCCATTTTGTAAGCCTGACATTCAAAATTCAACAGTTAAAAATGCTATTGGATAAGGCACCACCATAATTATTATCCCTCTAATATATTTCTTGATATTCTCTAATTACGATTTATGGTCATTTCTTTGCGCATAACAAGTGTATAGCAGTAAGCCCAAACCACATACGCCTGCACCTACCTTCCCATTCAGAGCCACAACCACAACCACACCCATCCACACACAAGAATCGTACGCAAAGCAAGATAAGAGAAATAATGCATAATGCAGCCCCTAATTGTAAGCAGCTGAGTAAAAGGTAAAAAAAGCAACAACAGAAATCTAAGCGAAAATATTAATAACTATAAATATAGCTAAAGTAATAAATTTATAAATGAATTATGAATTTTAGAGAGCGTTTGATGTACATTTATACGTCTGTCCCAATCCAAATCCCCTGCTGAAACATTCACGGCCACGTTTTGAGATTCATGTGAACAGAACTTAGGGATTGCAATGTCTATTCCTATCTTTATTTTTGTGTACGCCCAAAGCATGTGTTTAACGTGAAGTGATTATGATATATGATAATCTGTACGAAAGTTGTTTTATCTATTAGTTGATATGTGGAATCAATTCCAGGTATATAGGCAACAGTTCTGTAATGGATTTGAATTAAGTAGGTCACATTGAATTGATTTTGAAAAACAATTTAACGCCGAACAAAAGCATGAACATGGAAGCGAACGCGATCTAAGTACTGTAAATAAATTTTGTTCTTACATATGAAAAGCGATATAAATAAAACGTATAATGAGCGTTAACACCGTTGTTGTCTATCTTTTAAAAAGGATTTTAAAATATTTTCAATGAAATGCTTTTATTCGCCTGTAAAATAAAACGAACTTGGTAACAATTTAAATCTGCGAAAATATATTGTTTTCAATTGGTGTTCAAACATATCAGCTTATCATGCTAGCCGTTTTATCTTTGGGATGGGCAGTACTAAATTCTATTAGCTAGAGTATATTCTTATCTGAACTCTTATGCATTTTATAGGTTTTAATCTTTAAATTGAGTTCTTTTGCAGCTGGTTCGTAAGACCTTTCCCAGCTATTGTGTAACCGCCTTGAACGACCACATCGGGAGTTATCAATTCGGCCAAACAAACTTATCCATTGGCAAATAGCCCACCGGATGAGTTAACAATTATACGAAATTGGCAGAACCGAAACCGCAACTTGGGCAAACAGCGATGACTTGCGTATCTGCTGGTAGATATATCGTGAGCCCGGCCAGAAATTCAGAAACTCAGACCCGCTAAGTTCTTGGGTAAACACAGAGCGATCCAATTCGATCCGATCCGACGCACTGATAAGCGGAGAATCGAGTTCCCCAACTGGGGAGAGAGATTCTCTGGTTCTGGTTCTGGGTCTGTGGAGCGCGTGTGGAGCGCTCAGTTCGGTTTGGTAGGCGATCGAGAACGGTTGCCCAGGTGAACGGTGGAGCGCTGTTCGCCAGAGTCGCGGAATTCGGATCGGGCAATGAAATGAAAACAACAACCTGAAACCGTATACTTAATACGCGTGTGTGTAGCTCAAAAAAACAAGAAAAATATAAATAAACAAAACTACATTGCTACGTCAGAAGACTGCAAACAAAAGATATGAACGCAGCGCTGACGTCGCCGCCGCCAAGGTTCGAATCAGATATATCTTGTCGTTTTACTTTCCGCCCATTTTTGTGTTTTGTTTTTAATAAGTTTACAACTTTACAAGTGTGGTGATTTTTTGTTTTTCGTTCTTACTTTCGTGTGTGCATTTTCGCCAAGTGATTTGCGTGCAGCTCAAGGGGAGGAGAACTGCATTCGAGGCCCTCGCGCTCCCCGATCTTTCCGATCAGCAGTGCCTTGAGATTGCCGCTTTCGAAGTGAACGTTCCGATGTGGAAACCTTATACTCATGTCTAATTACACAAGCTATATTCCCTGGCGCAGACTAAATCAGCTCTAAAGCGGGCATAAGAGCTCGAAAATTTATTGCTATCCGGTCATAAATTTTGGAACGGAAGTAGGACGTTGTAGTTGAATTTCGGTTTGGATATCATGGGCAGCCGGCCAGCCGGTTTCGTCCTGGACGCCAAGTCCATGGGCCTGAATCCGTCGAGACCTCCATCGCCTTCACCATCAACATCACCATCTGCCAGCCAAAAGTGTCGGCAGGTGCAGCCAACCGAAAAGAGTGCCAGCCGTCTACATGCACAGTCGTCGGTAGAAGCCTCCTCCCATGTCCAGTGCACTGCCAGCACCGAGACGATGTCCACCGATCATTACCGCGATCTGCTCCAGAAGCTGCGGGAGGCCAATGGTGACGCTGGCGATATGAGCTTCGAGCTGAACAACATATTTCTGAAGCGGCTGGACGATATTGACTGCCTGGATGAGCACGAAGGTGATGACATGGTGAGAGTGGTTGTAAATCAATGGGGGTGTCATATATAATACTACCTTCTACCTTATATTCTACCTTCACTTGTTTGTTTACTTGTAGGGCACTTTACAGCTGCGCCTGAACACTTTCCAGGAGTGGGTGGATTTCCTGCTCCACGTAAACAGCATGATCTTGGGCAACGTCTCGGACTTGGAGAAGGAGACGTACAGCAAGATCGTCGCCTGCACTCAGTCCGTCCAAGGACAACAGCAACAGACCCTGGAGGAGAATCGCCGGCTGCGGAAGGACATCTGTGCGATCATAAAGCATGTGCAGACCTCTCCGCACTGCAAGGCCTTTGACTTTCGCGGCGTTTCCCTGGAGACACTGACCGTGAATCAAGTGCAGGGCAGTGGAAAGGATCATGCCCGGCCGGAGTGTGAGAGCGAGAAGGTAGGCCATAGATCCTTGAGGGAAAGAGGCGGCGGTGATTCCCAGGTCAAGTGCGACCCGAAGTCCCGCAGGAACGAGAACTCCAATAGATTGCGCCACTGAACAAACTTACGTGCATTTTGTGCTGCCCAATAAAATGATATATTTTGTTCATCAGTTTATAAGTTTGGCTTTGACTGGAGTTTTCCGCTCTATTGCAGATGACCGAGAGCATGAAGTCCTTAGTCAGCGAGATCGCCGCCAAGCATGACGAGATCTGCAACTTAAAGTCGCAGATCAAGGACTTGGATGACTTCGTACAAACGGCCAGGCAGAAGTTACTTTTGAAGGATCAGTGCATAGCACAGCTCAATCAACAGGTAAGTTTTGCCACCAGGCACGGACAATCCTAGCAAGAAATTGATATTTTGACGGCTTGTAGAATTTATTATATATATTAATAGTCGTTGGTATACAAAAAACAAAAAAAATGATCAGGTGACGTTACTCATTATTAAGTACGGTTTAATAATAGATTCACCGGAGTACTTTTCTTATCGCCTAATCGTCTGTTTAAGCGTGCAATCGCAACACAATCGAGTATCTTTTCGGAAAATGTCACATTTCCTGCTAAAATCTCAGTGTATTCAATTAGCTCATGGGAACCATCTCACTAACTCGTTTGTATTCCGAACTCCCTGAAAACAGCTGCAGGAGATCACACAGTGCATTGAGATCATGTCGGAGGCACAGGACACGAAACGGGACCAGGAACACTTGGAGGATGCGCCCGGTGATTCGTTGATCGCAGATGCGATTACAAACGATATGCTCGAGAATCTCTCGATACACGACAACCAGGAAAGTGAGAAGCTGCGGCTGCTGAACGCGGAACTCAATGAGCTCTTTGATCTGTACGGCAAGCAGGATTACCAGGCCATAGAGAGTAGGAGAAAACGTCTGTCCTGTTTCTTCGGCGAGCTGGTGAGGCATCCCACAAATTTCAGAGCTCAAGGATATCTTATTCTATCACATTCTTCTTGGTTCCAGGCAACCGAGCGCGATGATACTGTGAAAAAGCTCGAGACCATACGCAGTCAGCTGAGAATCCTCCAGTCGGACCTCGACCAATCCTGCCTAAACCCGATTGCTCACGAAACAGGGCACTGTGAGCTGGACGCGGATGGTCAGATGCTAGAAGCCCTACGAAGACGCCTGCTCACCCTTAACCAGGTTAATCGGGAACTGCACGGCAAGTACCAGCGCTTGGACACCGAGTCGAAAAGTGTGTATTTCTGATCCGCGATACGATGGCGTTTCGCTATAACCATGCACAAAGTCAAAATTTCAGAGCTCCAGGCAAGGATTGAATCGGAAAGCGGCATTAATCAAAGGAATAGCGATGTTCTAAGGGAGATCGCCGATCTAATTTGCAAGTTGGTCAGTGACTCGCTATACTCTGCAGGAATGGAACAAGTAACTACTAATATGTGCACCATTTCAGGGTTCAATGGAGTTCTCCTACAACGAGATCTACGACGAATCCTCTAAGGAGAACCCTTTTTGTGCGACCATTGCGGAATTGTTCGAACTGAGATCCCAGCAGGGGCAAAGACAAGCGGCAAATGTGAGTAACACTGACGGCTTTGATTGCATCGCAAGTAACCGATTCCATTAACCCCGGTTGTCATATCAAATGCAGGAATGCGATACGAAAACACCTTCCCAAACAAGGAAGCCCCCCAAATCCATCAAAATCCCGGGAGCCACAGCACAAACAAAACCAACAACTAAACCTTCAAACAAGCCAACGACAACTAAAACTATAACAACGAAAACAACGACAACATCTAGGACCTCCAAGTAACTATGTCACTTGTTGGGCCTCCTGAACAGTTAGCCTAAGCCTAAGCCAAGTTAAGTAACTTAAGTTAGCTTAAAGATTGTCGTTCTTAAGAGACTTTCCGACGAAAACTTAAAAGAGCAAATACAAAACTCGAAATCTATGGCAAAATCCACACACATATAGTAAGCCAGTAAGTAGAATCACAGATTGCCGAAATGAATAGTTTTAATGTGATTACTCCTAGCTAGTTTTAAATAAAATTTCTTTTATATCCCAACCTAATTATGGGTCTTGAAATTCCTAGCCGTTTCAGTACATAGAACCTCCTTATGTGGTAAACGACATTCGCCTTCGCCAGGCGATCCACATATATACTCAGTATGTGCAAATCCTGGCTGATGTGACAAGAAATACTGTTGCTATTCGAGTCGCCGATTTATTTACCCATATATACGTATATATATTTGGCCCAGACACAAAAGAAGGAGATCCATCCACTTCACTCCACTTTCCGGGCATTTTTGCCTACATACGACAAATACAAATCGTTCGTTCGCCAATGTGTTTATTGTGGAAACTCGGCTGTATGTTCCAACTGCAATTGCCCAGAGGGGGAGCACCTTCTGCCCTCCATCCGGATGAGCCATCACCCCGGGAACTGGCGAATCGGAAATAGGTTTCGTGTTATTTATTTACCCACAATCGACACGCGAGGCAGGCGAACTGTGATATGCATATTGATGAGAGCCACCCAGGATTGGGACTTGAGTGACGAGCACTCCGCTCGTGCTGCTCGTGATCCTCGTGACTGCAAGGACCAAAAATCCATACCCCAAGTCACACAATTCCCAAAATTTAAGTCACACAATTCCGCGTCAACATAACTTTGTGCCTAATGCAAACACAAATATTTGAATGACTTACTTGGGTGTGAATAGCGAAGAAGTCGCCCCTCACGCCATCACCACTTTGGCTAAAACTGTCGGGCGCAAAATCAAACACAACTCGGCAGGAAGCCCCAGTCAAGGGGTCGTCGTCGGCGCTGGGAACCGGAGCAGTTCGCTTCAGAATCCTGTCATCCGTCGGCGGTTGCTGTTTGGTCGCGTGAAGCACATGAAGGAAGCGCCAGGAGGAATATCGCGCCAAATCCTCGCCTGGCCAATTTACGAGCCGTAATTAGCAGCCTTCGCGCTCCATCAATTTGATTTCTTTCTCTTGGCTTTCGGCGCGGAAAAGCCGAAAGTAAAAGCGTGCAATTAGCGGGGGAAATTGGACGCCTGAAAAAAGGCGAGGAGAAAGTTGGCCAAAAGTGCAAATTGTTTTCCGAGTGTTTTCGAAGTTGGCGGAGGGGGGCGAAGTGCAGTGAAAAGTGTGCGAACCGCAAGTGTGCAAATGGTGGAGTCAATGGAAAGTGTGTGGAAAATCGAAATGCATGGGTTGCCCCTAATGGGTTTAACGACAGACAAGGAATCATAAGAATTCATTGCCCCCGTCCTAATCGATTTTCACATTTCCCCAAGCTATCAATTTCGTGCTACTCCCCCCCGCCGCGATATAATATGCCTTTAAAAGTGTTTTAAGTGCGCCGAGCCACGCTTCCCCATGAACTCCACTGCCAATAAATAACTATATCGTATGGCCCATCCAAGAAATAGACAGACGATATTATTTGCTGCCACCCGCTGCAACTTTATTTTCAAATCGTGTCAAACAGTCGGGCCGTGCAAATAATAATATCTATAAAACTAGGGGGAATTCCCTCCCCTAACCTCCGCCCCACCCCATAAAACTTGTGTGTTGCCAAAGTGCCAAAGAAGCGAAACTTTGAAACTCGAAACCCGAAACCCGAAACCTTGCCACCTACCTACGCTTCGAATTGGTTTTATTTTCGTGACAAACTTTTAATAGCAATATTATTGAAATGAAATGAAACGAAATGAAACGGTAATGAAGCCAAAATTCGTCTGGGCTGTGCGAGATATATTTCAAAGCTCGGCACGAAGGCTCCACTTCCAGGCATTCGACACCGAAAACGATTTAAACACAAAGATACATCCGCGTATCTGCGCAATCGACAATCGCAATTGACAACTGACAGGTGATTCCGTGCGCGGATTTGCAGGCAATTAGTTACCGATTTCTGACTTGCCATGGTAAGCATCGCGTAGAGTTCGGTGCCAGTTCCACAACTCATTTGAATTTGTAGAACACAGAACCCAGCCCCTCCGATTGCCCCCATCGCCAGCAGTTGGAGCACACGCTGCTCCACTGCCAGACCGAAACGGATATACTGCAGGCCACCAGGGATAATTACCTCAGCATCATCGATGAGTTCAAAAGGGATCTCGAGGAGCTGACCGAACAGGTGGAGCAGCAGCAGCTGCAGCAGAGCTCACAGGCCACCCAATCCTGCCCAGAACCCGCGCTCCACTTTGTGGATCCGCCGCGGATCAACTGCGAACTAGAGATACAAGTGGGGCCCACTAAAGCGCACATTTCTTGAATAGCTCTTAACTGCATCTCTGATTTCTTGCGACTCTTTTTCCACCAGAACGAACACCTTGCCTGCCAAATCCAAGGACTGCAGGACAATCTCAAGGATCGGGATAACCAAATTGACCGGCTGCAGTCCATGATCAAGAGCTACTCCGATTTCAGCGAGAACAATCGGCTCAAAGGGGAGATGCATGATCTCAAACAGAAGAATTGTGAGTAAAAGCTTGGCATTGAATAAAGCTAGTTGTGTTAATATTTTTATTTTTAAGTACTTTCTTAGTCATTCTAATGAAACCTTTTTTTAAATGCCATTTAATTAAATCATATACTTATATATCTTCAGGTGATCTGTCCCGCAAATCGCGGGAACTCTCTACCATGCTGAAGAACCAAGAAGACCAACGCGTGGAGCTGTGCACGAAGTACGAGAACCTGCTGGCCAGCTTTGAGGAGCAGTGCCAGGAACTCAAGGGAGCCAAGAAGAAAGTGCACAGTCTGCAAACGCGACTGGACCAGGTGGAGCAGCTGCAGGATGAGCTACGAACAGAGGTGGTATCCATACGTTCTACTCCTGGTTAAGACAAATAAAACAGATTTTCGATTTCAGCGCAAAATGCTGCGGGAGGAGGTGATCGCCTTGAAGGAGAAGGAGGCTGTGTCAGCGGGACGCGAGCGGGCGCTTCAGGAGCAACAAAAAAATGCCCACTCGGAGGTGGAGAAGATGCGCACCCTTATTCGGAACATGCAGGGCCATCTGCAGTTGGATGACATCAGGCACCGCGAAAGTGTCCAGCGGATGAATGAGACAACTGAGTCACTGCGTGAGGAATTGCGCACCATTTCCGACAATTGCCAACAAATGCAGATCCGCCTGAGGTAGGTACTTTTCCAGGATAGAGTGCATCCATATAAGAGCAGCTGCCGTGTTCTCTCTTCCCGCTAGCCAACAGAGCGAAGTTAACCAGCAGCAGGAGCAGATTATCGACTCCTTTCGAAAGTGGAAGGACGCGCAGGTTAGGGCAGATGAGGCGATGCGTCAATGCGCCAAGCGGTCCGAGAAACACATCCATATGCTGCTGGAAGAAAACCGGACGCTGGCCGAGGACTACCGCATTCTATACCGCGACAACGAGCTCTTGGAGCTGGAGATGAGACGAGTGAAGCAGGCGGTCAACTGCGCCTCCAGTTCCGCGAAGAGTTGTCCACCTGAGACGAGTGGCGGTCGCACCAATGCCGAGGCGGTGAACACAGTGAGTTGGAGATATATCTCTTACATACTTTATATGCCATAGCACGAAAATTTCTATGAACCGCATAAAACTTGAATTCTTTCTTCATTTACAACAAGCCTGTTCCAAATTTTGCCAAATCGGATAACCATTGGACTTAAAAACGGGCAGCTGGAATTAAAATAGTATTTTCTCAATTGTCTAACCTATCGGTGACTTCCGCAGATGGCCAGGCGATTGCAGAACTTGACCAGCACATCCCAGCGAATTTCTAACCAGAATCGTACTCTCAACGATCAGTACTGCAACCCTTTGATCTCACGAAGCCCATCTGGAATAGGGCAACCGGTGGCCCAATCCACATTGCGGCCTGCTCGATCGTCTGAGGATCTGTCGTAGGGGCAGCAGACTGGATTTGCATGACGCTTCCATTCCATTCAAACATCGTTCTCACCCAAAATCTATGCCATCAGCACTTGAGGCGCGTAATTTGTAAATTATCTTGTAAATTGTGGTAGAAAATAAAAACTAAGTGCTTGTGTAATCTTGGTAGTGTCATCATCATCAGAGTTCTTCAAAACTCTTTGAATCTTTGTTGCTACATTAAACAGGGCTGCAAATAAACTAGCTAATGCTCTAGAGGAGTACTCATAATGTGCGTCTGTGGACGCAGTGCGGCTACTTGTTCTCATCCTGCTGAATTAGTTTGGCCCTTTCGCTGATGGCTATCAGGGCCATTTTGATTTGGGCCCTTTTCTTGACGCTTTCTTCGCGCAGCACAGCCGATTGCTTGGTCAAGATCTTGACGCGGGTGTCGCTGAAGCGTTCTGCCTCCGGAATGCTCATCTCCAGGAACACATCCTTGCCCACATTGACCAGAATGCTGTCCATTTTCCGGACGCGCGCCTGCATGAATACGTTGCTGCCGATGTTGACTTGCGTCTTGTAGCCATCTGGTAGGTGGGTGTCGAAGGTCTGGAGGGTGTTCTTCAGCTGGATGTACTCCATGATCTCCTCGTTGAACTGCCCGATGCACTTTTCCAGCTGTCTGAGGTCCTCTTTCAGCACTTCGTTGATGAACTCCTCAATTTGGGTGATGCGCGCCTGATTGGCATCCTGCCTGCAAGTGGGTCTTAGAACTACAGTATTTACTCGCACCTTTACCACTTACTCGTTTTTTATTTGAGCTTGTGTGTTGTTTCTTGGATTTATTTGCATTGTCTCGGCATAAAAAGAATTTAGAATTTGGTTGGATATCTAGTTTGTTTACTTCCTGCTTCTTCTTCTCTTCGCGATAGCGGCAAACAGCTGTTATCGATAGACAGCAGTATTGTCAATTTAGCTAAATTCCAGCTAAATATTAAAAGGCGTATTATAAATTAAGCAAAACAAATATACACCACTTATCAATGGTTAACTTACGGAATTATGCGCTTTTTGTGCACTAATAAAACAATTAGAAAATTCGAATCATAAAACACGCAACAGATGTTTGCTAACTCAGTATGTAATACTTTACTGGTAAGTTTTAGTACATTTTTTAGTTGCATGAGTTGGCACTCCTTCAATATGGTTTCGCGCTAATTTTACTAAACAAATTGTCGAAATGTCGCTTAAAAAGGCTCTCGATGATTGCAAGATTGATTTCGATCGCTGTGTGCTGGTCACCGACCTTCTGGAGGAGTACAAGCTGTCCTACAAGGAGGTGAACGATGTGTTGGAGGCCTACATCAAAGATCAGGAACCTGCCATAAAATTCGAGAAGCGATTTCTAGTCCATGGCAAGCGTAAAACGCAAGGATCCGATTCCGGCGAAGATCTGTACTCTGTGGTGATGGAGAACAAGATGCAGGATTGGCTGGCCAAAGTCCAGGATGCGGAGTCCCAGCTGTATAGTGTGAAAATTGCCGGTGGCACCAAAGCGCCGGCCGCGATTTTTAAGCCCATGCAGCATATGGAGGTGAAGTTGGCCAAGGTGGAGCAGCGTCCTGGAGCGGGAAAGACTGTGCCCAGTGCAAATGGAGTGACCCCCAGCAATGGAGTGAAATCCCAACCCAATAAATCGGAGTCGTCCAAGTCTGTGGTTAAGTTAGAGCCTTCAAAATCGTCACTTAAAGCAGAGACAACAAAGCCAGAGGCAGAGAAGTCGGCAGCCACCAAGAGCAAGTCCTCTCCGGAGACCAAGAAGACCTCGCCCAAGGATCAGGCCTCTAAAGCCAAGCCTGCAGCGGTCAAAAAGGGCAGCATAAATAGCTTCTTCACAGCGGCGGCCAGCAAACCAAAGGATGTCAAGGCAACGCCCAGCAAACCGGCTTCCGGCACCATGGACAACTTCTTCAAGAAGCAACCGGCAGGGACAAACAAGTCGCCACCGGAAAGTGAAGATAAATCCAAGCAAGATGCTCCCAATCCAAATAAAAAGGAAGCCGCGAAGAAGAAATCCCCCAGTCCCACCAAAAAGTCCACAGCGGCAAACACTTCCATGCAACTGTTCGACGAGGAGAGCGCCGCCGAATCCTCCGACGAGGAGGAAAAGCTGGACATGCTGCGGCGGAAGGTGATCGAATCGGACAACGAATCCGATCTGGAGAAGCCCGCGTCCTCCAAGCGGCGCCGCATCAGCGACTCTGAGGACGAGGAGCAGCCACCCAAGAAGTCCGCCGATGAAGAAGTCATCACAGTGGACGAGGAAATGGATACGGAACCGGCCAATGAAACCTATCTGGACGAAGATGGCTTCGTCATCACGCAGCGAAAACCGGCCAAAGCCCAGCCAGTCAAGAAAAAGGTTTCCCCAAAGGCTGCAGCTCCCGTCAACAAAAAGAAGTCACCACCTTCATCCGCCAAAGCTGGAAAGGATGCGCCGAAAACCAAACAAGCCGGCATCATGAACTTTTTCACCAAGAAGTAAAAATAAACGCATGAGGAAGTTGGTAGAATAAGGTTAATGTTTAAGTATGGAAACAGTTAATGTTTGTAGTAAACTTAAAAATTATTTAAAAAATGTCGATTTCAGTTATTGAAAAATATATTTATTTTGATATACCATCAAACCCATTGAGAATACCATAGTAAAAGGCAGCGTTTGTTGTTAAAAAGAATTTATTGCATTTGTTTATAGCTGCTAGAAGTTGTTTGAGTATCTTGTTTGTAATTTGTATTTATTTATTTATATAGATTCGCGTGTCTGATTGTGTGTTCGTGTGTGTGGTGTGTGTGTGTGTGGGCGTGTTGTGAATTTTGCCTGGCCTATGCTTTATCAGTGCGTGTTTTTGGTTTTGTTTTGTGTTTGTTTTTGTGTTCGATTCGAGATCGAAAATCGTTATCTTCGTTATCGTTACGTTACCGTTACCGTATTTCAAAACACTTTAAAAAATTAAGGCGAGGTTTGAAAAAACACTTGTTTGTTCATATAATTCGAATATTCATTAATTTAAATTGTTCATTTGTTGTCTTGTTGGTTTACGGATTTTTTTTATTTTATTTTCGTTTTTGGTTTTCCCTTTTCTGTTTCTGCAGTGATTGCGTTTGATTCCTATCTGATTTTTAAGCATTAAAAGCTTACAGTCAGGCTGCCCGATGGCAAGCAAATACATATGTAAGTGATTGAGTAAGGGTTTTTGTGGTGGATAAAACAATGTGTCGTGTTCCTGGCAAACAATCGAGATCAGTGGCTACTCTTAGGTAGAAGCTTCTCAGAAGCTAAATTAATGCTTACACTTAGATTTGCTTCGGCCTATTATCCGATTAGGCTTCCCACTTTGGCAGTGGTCACTGTACAACCCACCAATGGTCCAAAGATTCTGTTTTCGTTCCGAATGGCATTTAACTAAATTTTGAAGAGTCCAATAATTGATGAGCGTACAGTGGGCCATCGCTAAAGGGGTCGCCCTTGTAGCTATGTTAATTCATAAATATTGCTCGCGATGCAAAATGAAAAAGTCATTTGCTATATAATCAATCAGTTAATCAGTTAATTAATCATTTCCTAGGTGTGATATGAACATAATGTGTGCATGATATGACTCTACTAATATGATCGTTTTGATTTCTCTCGCACGCTATTTGCCTTGACTTAATTACCTAAATGAATGTAACATTCGTTTCGTACAATTTAATATCTCAGCACCATTTTTTTGAATAATAGCACAAAGTATATATGCAATTATGTTTTGTATGGGTCAACAATAGAATAGAATTTTCCTAGAATTTGTGTGGGTGTTTTCTTTTCGCTTTCGTTTTCTTTTTCGTTTTCGATTTCTTTTCCTTTCGCTACTGAGTAAAATATATCTAAGTTTATTTAACTTTGCTCGTTCATTTTGTTTCGGGCTCTCTTCTAAACTTGCGTATCTACGACACTGCCATAGGACTCTTCAGCAAATTTGGGCGCAATATAATCCTCGTAGTAGTTGATGAATATATCCTTGAACTCGTCGGCTATGAACTCCAAAGCATTTAGCATTTGCATCAGCTCCCGATCGTTGCACTTGTAGTTGCTCAGCGCCATCACATCCCAGAAGTAGGAGAAGTACTTCACGTACTCGATCGACTGTCCGCCGTACTGGGCCATCACGCTGGGCAGCACGGACCGCAGGATGGACCCCAGTTTGTTGAACTCCCAGTCGTCCAGGACTGTGGCTCCCTCTTTTGGTTGGCGCAGTTGTTAGAGGTAGGAGGAGCAGACAGAGAAAGAGAGATCAAAAGAGATAGTTTACCAGGATCCAGGAGAAGAGGAGTAGCAGAAAATATTTCCTGAATTTTCCTTCACTAGTTACGCAATTAAATTATATAGCTATTATAAATCATAATAATATATATAATCATAATAATAAAAGTCCTTGTTTTGATTAAATTACTACTCTATAGCTTGCAATTTTGAGATGTGCAAAACTTTCTGATCAGTTTAATAATCTTTTAATTTATATTTTTGCTACTTCTAGACCTTTAATCTGATTATCTGCATAAATTCAATGAAATGGTGGATCGAGAAGCGGGAAGGTGCGCAACCAAGAGGGAAACGTGAGCTGGTGATGATCAAAAATCATATATAAATGGCATAGCTCTTTTTTTGAGGACTTACCGCGGTGCACCATGAGGCACTGCTCCAGGAGCAGCCTGGCCAGAGCCACCTTGCACTCGTGCAGATCCATCAGTTGGTTCTCGGCGCGCTCGATGGCCGCGTACAGCTTGCACCTCTCCTCGATTAGTTCACAATCGATGAGGGACGTGGTGAAGGCCCAGAACCACTCCAGTTTCTGGTACTCGCCGCAATGGGGACACAGGATCAGGTCGGCGCCATTGAACTCCGGCTGGGTGTACTCCTCGGACAGCCACCAGCGCAGACTTGGAGCATGGGGCAGAGCGTTGGGTGTGAAGATCTCCATACAGCTTGGGTTATCACAACGGTAGCGATGAAACTTGTGCTGTGGGCAGGATAAATATTTGTAAAATACATCAAAATTCAAAGCAAAGGGAAATCAGAATTTTAAAATAAACTATTAATTAAATTAAAAACTAAAATATGAAAAGCTACAGCATATTTTTTGTTACTCTAGATGAATTTGTTAATTTTCAAAATAAATTAATGCTAATTGTCCCTTTAAAAGTTTCCTATTTGATCAAAAAATATCATAAAAGTTAGATGAGATTTCTAGGGAACCTAGAATCATGATGTCCCAACTTACGAACTGGTCATCCGAGTGGGTGAGCTGGCAGGCGTTGCACTGGCACCTGATGCCGCTCTCCTGGAGCTGCTTTGTGCGCTCCTCCCGGGGTAATTGCTGAAAGTTACCTACGGCGAAGCAGTTGTAGATGCCGGAGCCCGCCGGCAGATCCAAAAGGGCCAGCGCGGTTACCTTGCGGCCGGAGAACTTGGCGCAGATCGTGGAGGAACAACTGTGGCGGCACAAGTTCAGTGTATCCGGGTAGACGGAGTACGACACAACAGCCACCTCGCCGGCCAGCAAGTGGAGGTGGCCCTCCTGAAGGCGCATGGGAGCGGCCCATAGCTGGAATTCGTTGAGTGGCGAGAACACGTGCGGATCAGCGGGCAGGACGAAGGATCGGCAGGCAGTGAGCGATCTGTGGCGCAGCTGGCCAATGTGACGCATCAGTAGAGCGGCACATAGCAGCTCCCATTCAGCATTCGACATCCGAGAGGCCGTAGGCAGACTCTTCTCCAGCTGGTCGAAGAACGTGGTGCACTTGCTCAGGTAAATGGACAGGATGTGGGCGGCCAGGGCCAATGCGATCGCCGTGTCCGTCGGTCGCTCCTCCTTCAAGCGCTCCAATCGCAGCACGGCACTATACGCGATATCCTGTCGCTCCTGCAATGCCCCATTGATGGCCGACCAAAGCTTGCTTAGCGTCGGTTTCTTTCGGCAATGGCCCAGCAGTTCCGGCAGTCCCGTGATCAGCATCCTAAATGCCAGCTGCAGGAGTCGCGGCATGCCGAAAACCTCACCGAAGGACTCGAACAGCTCGATCTGGTGGCCAAAGCACTCCACCGCATGAATCGCCGCATGCTTGAAGCGGCACTGTCGGGAACAATAGACCACCAGGCGGTTGGAGCAGTAAATGCAGGGAAATGGAATGAACTGAGTGATCCCGCAGTAGTCGCACACCCGGCAGTTTCCACTCGGCACCATGGCCACCGCTTCCGATTCGAAAATGAGCGCGTTCTTGGCCACCGCCCTGGTTGTGTGCAGCGACGAGGAGTTGTCCAACCAGGCTCTATAAAATATACAACTTATTAGATGTGATCGCCATGGAAGATTCTAACTCACATTTCAAAGGCTTTCGAATCGTTGGTATCCAGATCATCGCCCGTCTGTACGGCCATCTCGAAGCGCTCCACCTTGAGCACCTCGCACTGGTGCCAGAGCTCATGGGTCCTCGCTTCGAACACCTGGTTCAGTTCAATGTGCAGGAGCTCGTGCAGATGCTCCTCGCAGAGCGCAAAGTTACGCAGTTTTAAGGCACAGGCGGCTTGGCGCAGCTTAATCAATGGCAAATACTCCTCCGGATAGCCCAGATCCAGGGCGCACAGGCAGTCGTCGTAGGATTCCTAGAAAGATTGCCAACTAATAAGACATATCTACTTCATTAATTCAGTGATTCCTTACCGCATATAGACCGCAATCAAACAGGACCAGGGAGCGATTGGCGTGGGCCAGGGCGGCTGCCAGCGTGTTCCGGGCCGGGGCCAGGAATATGGCCTCCGTGAAGAGATCGCTGGCCTTGAGCGGATGCCGCTCCTTGCGGTACGAATCGTTTCCAGCCTCCCGCAGACGACGGGACTCCTCCTCCGACTTGAAGTGGCCCGTTTGGTGGCGCAGATGTTGAAACCATTTGAGTACGTGTGGCCTGTGCGGTTTGGTGGGGTAAGGGTGGTATGGTTAATTATTCACGGCAAATGTCAAAACGAAGTGACCCAAATTCCGAGTTCGACAGCAAACAATGCTTCTTAACCTAAACGTACGAATGCATGCAACCCAGTATACTGGGCTGTGTTTACAAGAACTGCGGGTAAAAACTGCTAACAAAATGGATTGGCAGTGCCTATGTACATATATGAAATCATATAAATGTGACTTCAATACTGAACATATTTTCATCTAAATCCTGTCTTTGTTTTCGGATCGATAAATTAAATAATAATTTTTATTCTAATTTTTAAAAAATCAGCTCTTATAATCATTAACCAAGCCCAATGTGCAAAGGGTGCAAAATCACCTCCCACAAATTAAATTCATTTCACGGGGTAATTATGGATTTGCATAATGGTTATGCCGCCAATGGCCCTAACCAACATTAGCTCAGTGGTTGAAAAAGCTGGTTAAATAACTGCAATAGGATTATATTAATACATTTATATGTATGATTACTGCTTCTAATAAATTCCAAGTTCTTACCAACTTGTAAGAGAACATATTTTCTCAGGAACTTAAGGCTTAGTTACAAGTTAAAACCGTACAGAACGCTAGAGTCGACTATCAGATACCCATTACTCAGCCGGACGGACGGATGGACATGGCCGGATCGTCTTGGCCAGTGAGTCTGATCAAGAATATGAATACTTTAAGGAGTCGGAGACGATTCC